CATGGGATGTCCTGCTCAGCAATTATGCAATTGCAGATATGCGAAAATTGGAGCCTCTTACAGTCAAGGCGGTTATGGAGAAACTCATGCAGATATCAAGTGGAAAGTGGAATAAATATAGACTGCAACATACTGTATACCCTTACATTGTACCTATTTATGAAGTGGAGCTTCCAGATTATGGTGGCTTGAAAATTCTCTGGCAGGTTGATTATGGATTCTCTATTCGTGACAAGTCATACATTCAGCATGCGGTAATTTGGGCAGTCACTGTGAACGAAGAGCAAACCAACGAAAGATTAGAAAATATTGCATTACTTCACCAAGTTTACACCCCTGAGCATAAAGACAAGTGTGCATTCCAACAGATTGGCAAAGGTGGTATCGTTTTACCAAAATCCTTTGAAGATGAGGGTGGAACAAAGTCCACCCAGAGCAGATTGAGGAAGAACCAAACAGATGATGAAAATTTGTTGAAGGTCCATGAAATGCTTACCACAAATAAATTTGTTCCATTATCAAAGGTAGTGTATGAGCATGGACAATTAAAGATTTAAACAAAACACATTTTAACTGGAGTTACATATTAATATATAATTTTTGCTTCCAGAATTTATTTAGGTCACTTGCCAGAGGTGGTACTGAATTTACTTTCCAGGTATCTAAGCTTGAGTATGAAATTATTAATCATCCTTCATCAGCAATTGTCATTGGTCGTTCTGGTTAGTATTAAAAATTTTGTTATGCTTTTATAATTAGGGAGAAAAGGCTAACGTTATTTTTTTTTTATACCTAGGAACTGGAAAAACCACATGTATTGTGTTTAGACTTCTTGCTTCATACCTGAAAAGCCAACCCAACGAAACATCAAATGACAATGGTGAGGATTCTCATAAAAGACAAATATTCATTACGTTGAGTGATAATCTTTGTCACAAAGTAAAAGAAAACTTCAACAAATTGCTGACGTCGGTAGCATTTGCTAATAAAAGGATGTACAAAGATCAATCCCACGAGGAAAGTGATAATATTGATGTGACAAATGACACAAAGATTGGGAAAGATAAAATTCCAAACTCATTCCGTCTTCTGACAAAAGACCATTTCCCATTAATAATTACCTATGAAAAGTTCATCAAAATGCTTCTAGGAACTTATGACATTAATGTACTGAATCCAACTAAACAACCAAATTTTGATGTAAATGATGATGATACAGATGATGATGTGTCGGATTCATTATCAGGATGCTTCGTAAACTTTAGACTCTTTGAAAAAAAATATTGGCGTCATTTCAATGATTATTATACAAAGAAATTTGATTGTGGGCTGGTCTTTTCTGAATTTTCTATTATCAAGGTATGTAAAATTCCTACATCACGTTATTTAATTGATATTGTA